CCCTGAACTTTGGACATGGGGTATTTTGCAAGAAGAAAAACAAGTAAGACACTAGATCTTTTGAAATATATAGTGAATCATTTTTTATCTATAGTCACTCTACTGACAAAATGCACCAGAAGTTCTTATCATAAACTGTAAGCTGATACTCCTGGATCAACCTCTTCTCCCTCCCTTCTCACTGCTCGCCCCAGCCTCAGGTGCTCACAACTTCTACACAATCACCTTCAAGACTTGACATATGGATGAGGCCATGGAGTACATATCCTTTTATGTTTGGCTCATGTGACTTAACATAATGATCTCCAGTTCCAACCACATAATTGCAGTCTACAAGATTCCATCCTTTTCATGGAATACTAAACAGTATTCCATGTTTTGAATGTACAGCATATTTTTTTTCAGGTACTCATCAGTTGGTGGTTGTTTCCATTTCTTGGCTGTAGTAAATAATAATGCAGTGAATATGGGTGTGCAGATATTTCTTTTTTTCACTTCATTTGAAAATATGCCCATTAGTGGCATAACTGGATCATATGGTATTTCTAGTTCTAATGTTTTGAGGAAACTTCATAGTATTTCCTGTAATGGTTGGAGTAATCTACATGCTTGTGGACAAGTGTACATGCAGTCCCTTTTCTCCACTCCTTGACAACCTTTATTACCTTCTGTATTGTGGTACTAGTCATTCCTACTTGAACACAATGAGGTGATATCTCACTGTTTTGATTTGTATTGTACTAATGGTTAGTGGTGCTGACCTTTTTTTCATATACTTATTAGTCATTTGTGTGTCTTCTTTTGAGAAATCTCTTTTTCTGTATATTCTCTACTTTTAAACATATATGTTTTGTGCTATGAAACATACAAAGCTATATCAAAATGTATTCCAAATGTTAATCTTCTGTCAGGTGGGTACTTTGGAAATGTTTTCTCCCCTGCTGTAAATTGTCTCTCCACTAAGTTAATTATTTCCTTTAATGACCAGAAATGCTTTAATTTGACATCATCCCATGTAGCCATTTTTTCTCCTGTACTTCCAGTGTTTTATCCAAAACTTCCCCATCCATTCCAAACTCCTGAGAATTTTCCCTGTTTTAGCTCCAGTAGTTTCATCGCATCAAGTCTTATTGCTGTTAGTGCATTTTGAGTTGATTTTTTGTAACTGGTGAGAAATGAGGATCTGGCATCATTATCTGGCAGTTGGAGATCCAATTTTCCCAGCACTATCTCTTGGAAAGACTTTTTTTTTTCTGTAGCCAGATCAGCCCATCTTGGGGGTGGTACAAGTGCAGCATATGGTGACAGGGGTTGAACCGCAGTCCCTGTGTCTGCCTAAGCTTGCCTAAGCAGGTGCTTTAGATCGCTGAACTATCTCACTGGCCCAAGACTATCATTTTTGCAGGATATGTCCTTAACACTTTTGCTGAAAGTCAGGTGGTTGTACATATGCAGATTTATCATCTCTGCATTTGTACTTTATCAGGTATTTTATCAACTTTATTAAGTTCCATTGGTCTTTGTGGCTCTTTCACACAAATGTCATGCTATTTAGATTACTACATACTTATAGTGCATCTTGCAATCAAGAAGTGTACTTTTCCTGTTTTGTCTTTTTGTGTAGGATGGCTTTGGCTACTTGATTTTGTTTATGATTCCACATAAACTTTAAGATTGCTTTTCATAATCCTGTAAAGAATGTCATTGATATTTTGATAGAAATTGCATTGAATCTGATCACTTTGGCTATTAATTATTTTGGTCTGTGAATATGGTTAATATTCTTCTTCCAGATATCAGTGTTTCATGATTTTCATTGCAGAGATCCTTGGGAGCATTGCTATCTTGTTAGTATTATCTACACATTTCCACACATGCATGCTAGCCATTTATTCAAGTCTTTCTGAGAGTCTTCTAAGGAAGTTTGAAAAATTTCTTTCTGGAGGTTGGTGTAATTCTTTTTTTCTACGAGAAACAAATAGCAATGAGAAACAAATAGCAGTGAGACAGTTTCAAATTAAATTGGTAAGACAGTTTCAATAATTAACACATTGCATACTGTCTTCCTAGTGGTTCTTTGTTATACAAGATGCAGACATGATATTCTATTAAGAAACACTATTAGAACAAATCCATCTATTCATTGAATTAAGAAAATGTAGTTATATATCTATCCTAACCATTTTAAATATACAGATACAAAATGGCCATTTATCTGTATTCCTCTTTTTTGTTTAGTTCCATCACTTAAATATTATAGGTGTGTGAACTCAGCAAAATATTCCAAAATAGTCCAGTAGTCCATAATAGTATTGGGTCTTCCACTTGACTGGCAATGTCAGAAGTTGTTGACCTGAGTTCCCTACAGCTCAACATAACAACATGGCTTTATTTCTTATACTTCGTTTTTATACTTTTCTGTTGGATGATTAAGACCAAGACAAAGCAAGACCTATGTAACAAGAATTGTAGCTTTTGGATCTGATAAGTTCAGTCAAATCCCTTCAGGATCTATCCTGAGACCCTGTACCTCAGTTTATAGATCCTTTGTCAGTGTCAGCCATGTGGATGAGTCACGCCCATTGCTTGACCAATGTGCTCTCTGTGAAAGCCTGAGAGAATGTTTTCTTTTTATGTGACTTTCCTTAGGCACACTCTACATCATCATTCACTTTCCTCTTTGGCCTCAGAATCTCCTTGATCAGAAAATCTGGGACACTACCGAGTTACATGATATTACAATACAAGTTCTCATATGTCCTGAGTCTTAATTGACCTTGGAAGGCTAGGGCCAAAATGTTGCCTTTCCTTGTAGCCCTCCTTTTTCTCTAATTTTGGTCTGCAAACTTAGGTTGTTAACCATCCAGAAAACAAGCTTATTGTTATTATCATACAACCTAGGCTGTTGAGCTTAACCTCACTATCTGTCTGAATATCAAACATTTTAGGCATAGGTTTGTGTAATTCTTGTTTAGGTAATTCCTTGGTACTTTTCATTTGTTCACTATGATGAATAATATACTTTTGTTTTTAAATGAAATCTGACCAGTTGTTAGTGATTCAGGAAAATTTTTGAATTTTGAAAGTTTAGTTGTACTTGTAAACTATTCTGAACTTGGTGACTCAAAGGTTTCTTTTTCTTTTCTTCTTTTTTTTTTTTTTTTTTTTTTTTTTAGTAAGGGTCTACAGGGTCTCACTACACAGATTGGACTTGTAGTGATCCAACTGTTTCCAGCCTCTCAAGTGCTGGGGTTGCAGGTGTGGGCTACCACACCCAGTCTCAATAGCTGTCTCAGCAGGCCCCAGGGGCTAGGGCCAGCATAGCATGCTGGGAATTGTCTGCCTAAGCAAGCACTTTAATCTGCTGTGCTATTTGGTCTGCCCTCAAAGTTTTCTTTTGGTTATGACATTTTTTTCATGCTGATGCTCATCTCTCTTAAAAATAATAGCTGATTGACTTTCTCCTTTCCAATCTCTATATTTCTTTTTAAATGTTATATAATAGGAATAACAATGATCCTTTACTTCTTTTGAATTTAAAGACAATGTTTAAGAATTCTCTACTTAGTATTACATTTCATGTAATTTGTACATTAAGCATATTACCAAGGGTAGGAAATGTTTATTATTCCTATTTCCTTTTGTTTTATTATAAATAGCTGTTAAATTTACAAAATAATTTTTCTACTGAGATAGTCATTTGTATTTTACACTGTAACTAATTAGTGTAAGAAAATATATTGGCAGATTTTCTTTTTTTTTTAAATGTATTTGGTACAAGGGGCCTGGTATATAGCTCAGTGGCATACTTAGTTGCCAGGCAAGTGCAAGGTCCAAGTTCAGTTCCTGGTACCATAAAAAAAGAAAGAAAAAGAAAAAAAAAAAGAAAAGAAGAAAGAAAAAAAAGCAAGGAACAAGACTCTGAAGAGAAAACATTTCATTATGTTGCATTACTACTGCCAGAGTTATAGCTTAGCAGAATAAAAGCCTGCCTGTTAAGCACAAGGTCCTAAATTCAATCCCCAGTACTGAAAAAAAGAAGAAAAAAAAAAAAAAAAAAAGAAAGAGAAAAAAGGAGAAAAAATACAATGACATAGATAAATTTTTCAAATTTACACTTGATGGAAGAATCCAGGCACAAGTGCAGGCACTCTCTGTGAGGCACTTGCATCAAATTTATTGTTTTTCTTTTGTTTTTATGTTTTGGTACAGGGTATTACTACACAGCTTGGACTCATAGAGGTCTTCCTGTCTTCAGCCTCCCTTGTGCTAGGATTACAGGCGTGTTCTGCCGTGTCCACTCTTGGTGGCCGGTGGCCAGCTCCAATGCCTGGGAGCAGGGTGGGCACCGCATGTAGTGCCGGGGATTGAACCCAGGTCCCTGCCCTTGCCTAAGCAGACACTTAGTCCGCTGAACTGTCTCACCAGCCCTGTTACATCAAATTTAAAAGCAGATAAGCCCAGTGTATGAAATTATAGGAAGGAGTGTATTGCCCACAGTAAACTGGTACCCAGTGCATTCAAGGAGGGAGTGCTGTGGCTATGGATCTGAGCAGTCGAGGATTGCACAGCGCCTGGTCAGAGTGGTGTAATGAAACATACAAGGCTTTGGAGGTGTGCATTCATCAATCTGTCTTTATTGTTTTGTCTAAGACTCAAGAATTCTGGAACCTGACCCAAAAAAGAAATCTTCATCAGTAATGCAAGCAGAAGGAAACACCTCAGTAAAGAAAAAGACTGATCCCCTCGTGAAAGAAGGCATTACAAAACTTCTTGAATATACAATTTTGAATTTAAAATAATAAATATAAATTTTTTAATATAAAAAAGTGCCCCTTGGTTACATTCCACTTGAAAGCATTTTGTCCTTTGGCTATGAAACAGGCTTGTCTAAATAACTCATCTCTTCTACCTCTGACCTGTTTCTTTACCAGATACGGGTAAAGGGAAGTGACATAGTGACTTATTCTCAGTTTCCACATCTCAGGAGAGTTCGCACACGTACTCACCCGCGCGCGCACACACACGAGGGTCCTAAGAGACCCTTGGCTGCCCACAACTGCCTAGCCTTGCTGACGGGGCGAGAGGAGGAGAGGGGCTCCCAGGGCGGAGCAGCAGGAGATGCTGCAGAAACCCCGCCCACGCAGTGCTGCCGGCCGGGTCCCCATTCACCGCCCGGTTTCCCCGAGCTGAGCCGAGCTCCCGCGCCGCCGTGTGGACCGAGCATGGAGAAGCTGGTGAGCGGGCACTGTGGGGCGGGCGAGGGCGGCGGAGACCGGGCCTCTGCGGTCTGGGCCGGAGCCGGGTCTGCTGCATCCTTCGTGGCTCACAGATTTCGTTTCGGCCCTGTAAGGTGAGGAGAAGTCGAGCTTCCCAAGGGTAGCTTACTGGCCGCTCACTCGCCGCTCTCTGCCTGGCCTCTGTCACCGCGGAGAAACGATGCTCGGACCCGGGCTCGCGGCTGTCTGCCCGGCACTAGGTCGGGGGCTGCGGGGATTCCAGGCAGCGCGCCGGCTGGCCCTAGATCCCGAGGCCGGAGTCCACCAACCCCTAATCTCGGTTCACTGGCTTTGTGTGGGCTGCTCCTGGAGAAGCCCTCTGCTGCTTTTGGGCTTGCCTTAGGAAGCCATGAAGGAACCCACAAAGGAAGCTGCAGCAATGCTTCAGAAGGGTTGAAAGGCTCTGACCATCCTGTTTCATGGAAGGGTGTCTCAGAATATTCAGAGAGAAGGCACTGTGTTTATTCAGGATCTGTTCACACTGAAAAACATGATCTATCATACATCCTATCTGCATATTTAGATACAATCCGAATACAGCTAAAGCCTCCATGTGATTATTTTCACCTACAGCGAGCTGAAAAGACCACACAACCAGTTACCATATTTCATTATCTTCCTTAACAAAGGAGAATGGTGGTCTCCGAGGTAGTGTCTATAGCTGACATGCTACATGCTGGCTCTCAGTCCACACCACTATCCTCCAGCTCTGAATTCCTATCCCATTTTGCAAATAACAAAACAGCCTGAGAGGTTCATCTTTCCAAACCCATGTGGTTACATGTGGTGGGATCAGGATTTTAACTTAGAAACTTTTGGGAAGAGGTATGCATACTTGCCAGATGGGCGGTTGTTAAGTAAGACCCAAGCCTTTGTCAGCCTTGGACTTCTTGTCAAGGATTATAAGTGTATTTCTTTCTCTTTTTCATGGTCGACTGTTTCTGCGTTAGTTTTTTTTAGCTACATAATACATTTTGGCATTTGTTAATTCTTGGGCACTCTACTAAGCCCTTCAAGTGCATAATTCTCATTTTCCTGTTGGAAAAGAGCAATATTTAATTGGTGCTTATTTGTGTTAGAAACCTGTTTATAAACGATGTCCATTATTTAAAATGCTTAGAACTAGAGGTGTTTTGAGAATTTCTATTCTTTTGTAATGTTTGCATATACAAAATGAAATCTCTTGGGAAGAAAACCCAATTATGGTCATATAATTGATTCATGTTTCATATAGACCCTATAGTGTGCCTCTTTTATGACTACATTTCACATGAGGTCAGATGTGGGATTTTCCAACAACCCTCACAAGTTATACATTTTGTAGCTATGAAGTTCAGATTTACTACTTGTACTTCATTTAGTAACCATGAAGTTGATGCTGTTATTTTCTCAAAGTTCCAGAGAAGTAAGTAATATGTCATACTTTATACAGCTAGTATTTGCTTTAGGCAGAATTCAAGTCAACCAGTTTGCCCTCTGACTGCCACAAAGGGATACCTCTTAGGTCACTTTCCTGAAAAATGAATCCTCTGGTTTTTAGTATGATAGTATTTTCACTTGTTCTGCATGTACTAGATGGAAAAAGATTATAAAATGAAAGGTATATGCATAATAGTGAGCCTTTCCTTTTGATTCCTTTGGCTTAAATTGCTTTCTTTCTTAATACTGCTGGCTCCCAGTCCATAGTCTGGTGTTTTGGTATGTGTCTGCTTGCTTTCTCTCATCCTAAATACAGATTTTCTCTATGAAAGCCAATCCAGTTTGCTATTTCTGATCATAGTTTCTGCTGGGGCATGGATTTCCATGTGTAGGAAACACATAATGGATGAAGAAAGAATGACATGGAATTAGAATATCAGTATATGCATCTACAGTTGCTGTCGCTGAGAATACAACATGTGTCAGGTCCTGGAAGCAGATTCAGAGGAAGCACTTGATGGGATTTTTTTCCAGCCTTCCTACACAATAAGATAGGAAACAGTCTTGGTAATGCTGGGAAAATTTCAAGTGGCCTCTGGCCCACTTCAACTCTAAAGCCTTTGTTAAATGTAGGTACTGCTTAGTATTTGAAATGAATGTGGTGTGAGTAGGTGAGAGAAGGGGGCATAATGAGGAGACATAGTTTAAGCTGTATCTTTTCAGACAGTATCATCTTTGACATCCAAAAGGGCAATGGCTTTGTAGTTGGTTTTAGAACCATAAAGACAAGAAAAGTTGCGAAGTTAGTGTTGCATGCTAACAATATGCTTAGTATGAAATAATAAAAATATTTGTTCATAAGCTATAATTAGTCCTAATGGCACATTGAGATTTTTTAATTTTAATTCCCCATAGCACTTTTAAGAATGTAAGAAACAAACAACTTATGTCACACAGATGAATTTCAATGTGCTACATGATGGTGCTCTGTGGAGTCTAGGGAGAAAGTCTTAAGTGATTGGGCATCTTTGATTGAAGACAAGAGGGTGATAACATGAGGATTGGATTTGGAGATGGATCCTAAGGAAGTAAGATATCATCCCTTCCAGTATATTTGTCCCAAAAGATCTAGAGGAACACTGAGTCAGAGACTGTGATGGAGAGTTTACAGTGGGCACTAAAGAAAACAAAGTCTCTGCCCAGACCATGACAGCTCAATTGTTTCCATACACGCAACCACATGCAGTGTACAAGAAGGTCTCATGGGAGCTGAGACTAGCCTGGCTCTAAGGCTCATCACCTCACTGATCTCTAAACAGGCTCTTCTTCTTCTAGATATACCCCAGAGAAATATGACTAGCAATATAAGTAAGTCACTACCCCAGTCTAGGAAGGTACCTGGTTAGTAATGTTTATTACATTAAAAACCAGGGTTACATAATGAGATTAACATTCATTAGTCATCAGTTGATCTGACAGGATTTAGTACTTCTTTTGTAACCTTTCCCAATTAAGTTTTAGGTCATAGCTATTGCTCATGGGATTTTTACAAAAGGGCATGTGTTAACTACAACTAACAAGTGCAAGCAATGAGAAGGAAGGAGTATTTCAAATGTATATTAAAATCAGTGTACACCCAAGGGACAGGAAAATGAAAGAGAAATCCTTGGGGTGAATAGAAATGTTCAGATCCTCAAAGATTCTGCCTTTACTCCCTGATTATAAGCTTGTAAGAAGAAGAATATGTTAAGAAGATAGCAATCTCAGAGAAAATTCAGAGCATTTATAAAGTTTAGGGTACTGGGAAAATGAACTCTAGCAGAGAAGTCATTGTGTCTAATAGGAATGGGAGAACAAGGCTTAGTTAAGGCAGACATTGAAAATGAAGTGATGAGATTCCTTCCAATGGAATACTAACCTTCCACAGTAATCCTGACCCTCTACCAAGGCCATTTAAGTCATTATAGTCCAATAGTTTAGAAATGAGAATCAAGTTATAGTATCAGAAACAAGGACTAGGCAGAGCTGTTAACAACATTACATTCAAAATTGGCCTGGGTTTGTTGTGGCAACAGTTGAAGTAAGGAGAAAATGATCAAGATATCCTGGAAAACACAAGATTTGGTGGCTTTTAAAATCCTTGTTGGACAATAGGAAAAACAGACAGTCAAATTAGTCTTTCTCTTGCCAGACACACAGCCAATGTCCCAACTCTAAGAATTTAGTATAGTGTGAGAACAGTGTTTTTAAAACTATCAGATCATATTTTAGTATTTGATTTTTTTCCCAATAACAAGGCAGAGGGGCGGGTGTGTGGTGCCTGACAGATGATGAGAACCATTGGGGAGAGTGTTCCAAAGCCCTGGGCATGTGGCAGGCTGCACTTTGAAGGAGGTCATCTTCCCTCAAGTCTGACAGTGGACTGAAGCAGTAGGACAGTGGACAAAGGGAGGTAAGTCCCCTTAGACACACGGTGAACAGGCTCTCATCTGCTTACAGCACCAACAGTTCTGACACATCTAAGCATCTAGCTCAGCAGCCTAAGTGCCTACATGGCAAGTACAAGAACTGGGTTCGATCCCCAGTACAACATGCTGTGCCCCCACCCCACCCCACCCCACTGGGTGCCCTGTTGGCCACCGAAACTAGGCATGGGAGTGCATGCCTGTAATCCTTATCTTTCATTGTCTCCAAAGCATCTGGTAGAGTGCCTTGCATAAGCTCAAACTCGATAGAGATAGTCTGTGATTGAGAAAGCAGAAATACTGGTAGAAGACCAGGTAGAAGACAACTGCCCAAATTCCTAGCATCACAAGATGAGGGTAGGGGAGTGAACATAAGGAGCAGGGCTGCACATTTACACACTGGCAGTGTAGTGCCTAAGTACATGTAATCAGAAGAGGGAAAATAAAAAGGGTGATTTGACTGCCTGGAAAGAAAAAGTCTAAAGGAAAAGTTGCTCTGGGTAAAATAATGAGTTTAGTATCACTGAGAAATTTATTTATTCACTTTTTGGTCTCTATTCATTCAACTGAGAAGATTTGAGACAGAAGGAAAACATAACGGTGTTTAAGCAGGGAAGCGCTCAGTGACATCAGGGCACTGAAAGGATGTAGAGTGCATTGTGTTTGAGGAGAGCAGAGTGACTGAGACTGGAGGATGTGTGTGTAGGGGTCAACGGCAGATGGTGGGAGCTGGGAGCCAAGACGGAAGCGTGATGTGGATGGGATATATATATATATATATATATATATATATATATATATATGTATGTATATGTATATATTTTAAATCAGTGAAGTTTCTAGAAAACTACACAGTGGTTGTCACAGATTGCTGGGCTCTGTGAAAGCCTAGTTACCTTTTATCAGATAGCAGTTTCAAAATGAATTTAGACTATTTTTCTAGGACAATGAAGCAGGGACTACTGTATGAATGAGTTTAATAATCCCTTATGACAGTAACTTGGTCCTAGACAGTAACATCATTTCATAATTTGTATTTGTGTGTCTGTCTCTTAAAACTATACACAAGTGAGGGCAAATGTTGTGGAATTTGTGGTTGTGAGTACTGGAGTTTAAATCTTGACTGGGTTTAAATCTTGGCTATGCTGATTCCTACCTGGGAACATTCTCTGTGCTTTATATTCTTCATTTTGGAAACAATAATTATAATGTCTCTTTCATAAGTTTATATGAAATATTAAAAATATTCCAAAGCTTAATTTCTAAGAATAGTCTGTATTCAATAAATGCTGATATTGTTTTCATTAGTAGTTTAATTACCTCATGGGAGATAGAAACTAAAGTATAATTTTGATGAATTATCTTATATGGGTTTTGACTCCACACATGTATTTTGTGCTCCTGAAGTTAAAGCCATATAGCTAAGTGTCTATCTTCTTAAAAGAGAAATACTACCCCAGAAATGCAGATAATAAATTTCAGTAGCTAAACTTTTATGATAATATGGGCTGAACCATTTGAATTCCTTTTAAAAAGCTAAGTGCTGAGAGGCCAAGGACAGAAAATTCTCGCCAAAAAGAGTTCTCTGGAAGAGTTCAGGATGCTAGAGGAAGTAGTTTTTCTGACCCAAGAGGAGATAAGTGTTTTCCAGGGTGGGAGAGTAAAGAGGAACTGTCTTGTGCCTGTGGACAGATACCAGTTTGCGTTCTGAAAAAGAAGCCTTGTGCTTGGCCCCTAGGAATACGGAATTTAGGTGAAAGAAGAGAGTGGAAAATACAACCAGCAACTGGAGGGCGAGATCCAAAAAAAAAAAAGAAAATATCTGTGCCTCATTTCATTGAGAGTGTGTGGGACACGCATGCCTATCCGCCGGGACAGAGGAACAGTAAAGTGTAGATAGACATGTACATACGAATCTTGGCAGAATCTTGTGGAATTTCACTTTGGCCACTACGGGAGAAGCCAAAACTACAGAGAGAATACCAGATTCCCTTGTTGGCACAAACCAACAACCCTGATGATTGAAGGTAACACAGCTATCTTAGTAAAGGCCAGCTGTGTACATGGCTTTAAACAATATTAGTAGCCCTGTCCCACAGTTTGGCATTGTACAAGCTTCCAGAAAAGTAGAATAAATGTCAGAGATTGGGACATTCATAGAGTGTTTGGGTGGAAGGAGATTGAAATGACAAAAGTGAAGTGACATTGAAATTAAATTTCTACCTCTAATTGGAACAGAATAGCAACATGATATTAAAATGAAGTGTAGGTAAAGAAGAGTACAGAAAGCTTATATTTCTTATATATCTTTATTATAGAAAAAAATGGAGAAAATGTGAGGAAAGGTTACCTTTTTTCTAGTCTTCCTTAGAATGATGTACATATAGACAAAGTAAAGAGATCCATGAGGCAACTAGAGAAAAGTTGAACTAAGTACTATATCCTGCCTTCATTGTATAGCAAGATGATGCTGAAAACATTCCCCTAGTAGCATCATTGCTTGTAATAAGGCAAAGAATTTCTGCACAGACCCATGGAAATGAAGCAATAAAGGGAAAATATCAAATCAAAGCCAATCGATATCGGTGGTTTTAGTTGTGCGAATCATGTACACTTTGCAGGTTTACTTACATTCTAAGTATTGGCAGATGTGCACTGGGTAGGAGGGGTGCTTTCTGCCATTGGTACCCCCTGGATGTCTGTATTTAATTAAGGCAGTTCATTTCCCCAGTTGGTCTTTGAGACTTTTCCCTTAACAAGTTGGCTTAGAGACGAGACCTGAGATTTCAAGGGATACTTTGCTGTTATGAAAGAACTACACCATGCCTCCTGCCTCCACAAAACCAAGGTTCTGTGGTAGGTAAAACCTTAACTGACATATTCTCTGAAATGGTAGTAAGACTGACGCTGCCTTGGCTTTATGCAGATGCAAATCCCATTTCTGAACTTTGCTTTCTGTTTTCAGGTGTCCAGGAGGTCCTTCTGTCATCTGTCTACCTACTGCCTTCTTTGGGGCCTGGCAGCAGTGGTGCTGTGCACAGCGCAAGGTAAAAGATGCTTAACCCCCTTGCCCAGGGTCCAGCAAACCTAGAGTCTGTGGTGGCCGCGGGCTGTTTATACTGCCCTGGTTCCATTTGTCTGCATGAATTGCTGAAGCATGGAGCTTGCTTGGAAGAGTGGGAGTGCTTCTTGCCACTCTCCACATTTAGTTTTTGCATCTGATGCAGAACAACAATTTGATATTTAGAAACTGTTTCCATAGATGAGCGAGACTTAGGTGAAATATCCTCTGCAAATGAAAATGTAATATTGTTCCCATCCGCTAAATTGAAAAACTTAAAAAACAATCCTGCCTTTAGGAGGACAAGGGCATTCTTGCAGTTGTATAAGTGGATACAGTTTTTTTGAAAGATAACCTGACAGTAAGCCTTAAAATATGGTTTGCTGTCCTTTTTCAGAAAAAATATCTCAGAAAATTATGAAATATAGAGGGTACGTGGATTCACTTTACTATGCCAAAAGAAATGTGCCTGCATTGTCTGCTTATCTGCTGAATTTTCTAGTTTTTCCTGCTCTGTTCTGTGAGAGATCACTCCCCCAACTCTTCTGGCCTCTTATTAAAAATCACTTTCACTTGGATGTTGCCCAGCAACGAGGGAAGGCAAGGGGAGGAAGGGTGGACGGGCTTCCTGCTGTCCACAGCAGGATTTACCAATTGACTGGCAAAATCAAAGCAACTGCACGCAGCAGCAAAGAACTGTAAATGTTCCTCTAACATACTTCCATAGTCAAGTAGGGGGAAGAGAAAAAAGAAATCACCCAAAAGTTGAACACTTGTCTTGACTTCCTTTCTACTTGGCATTCTAAATGCAATGGGGTTCTTTTTCTTTTTTTTTCCCCCAAAGTTTTGCCCTGAAAATTTCAACGGCTGGTGTCATTCAATTTCCAGTTGAGTACCACACTGAAGGCCTAGAAATTTGTTGCTGGGCCCCTCTTCTTGTTCCTGGTGCTGTTGGGTAATTGTTCGGGCAGACTTTTTTTTTCCTCCTTACAGTGCTTTTATCTTTCCTTCTTCCTTTCCTCTCCTTTTAACAAGTTCCATTGGACTGATGTTAGAATCTTGAAACCTACTCATTTTTTAAAAAAATCTTTCATATGTTTACCCTTTTGTGGTACGTTCTGGAAGAATTCTATTGCATGGACTTCCTGCCTACTAATTTACTCATGAATGGCATCTATTCTGCTAATGGCTATTTGTTATTGTAGGAGGATTTCCCATTATGTTGTCTGTCATAACGTAAGGGGCTACCATAGCAAAGGAGAGGAAACTAGTACCAGAGCATTTAATGAAAAAATGGCATATGCGTGCATTGCCATTTGGGCATGAAAGCTTTAAGCTCTTGTCAGGAGCAATAAGCCTCCCAGAGCACTGGGCAATGTATCCTTCTGTCTTATGTGCCTGTGTTCACTTCTGCTTTCCATAGGCAGATACTTCTGTTTCCTCTTTCTTTGTCAGGTGTGTGTATGGGGAGGGTAACAAACTAATCACTCCACTTTTCATCTTTTGGCACTTTCTTGATCTTTCCTTCAAACTTGTTTTCTATCTTGTCTGGAAGTTTTTATCTTTAATCTTCTTCTACTTCTTTTCCAGCCTACAGAAGTCTTCAAACTTTCACATCACTGAGCATTTTTTTTCTTTATTGTTATTATATTCTGATATTCTACATTTTAAAGATTGAACAAATTACATTTGTTTACTCTAGGTATTTAAATCCTTTTTTGTGTTCTTCTTTGCAATTTTTTATTTTTCACTTTCGACATGCCTTATACTTGTTATCAAGAAAATATGTGCATGTATGTATTACAGTTCTAAAATATGTTTTCTTTCATGATACCATAATATAAGTGGTGACCCAGGATGAAAGACAGCTGCTGAACACACCTGCATCCTTAAGATGTTCTCTACAGACTTCCCAGGAAGCCTTAATTGTGACCTGGCAGAAAAAGAAGGTTCTAAGCCCGGAAAACATGATCACCTACAGTGAGAACCATGGGGTTGTGGTTCAGCCCGCCTATGAGAACAGGGTGAACATTACTGAGCTGGGACTTCAGAAATCAGCCATCACCTTCTGGAATGCAACACTGGAGGATGAAGGATGTTACATGTGTCTCTTCAACACCTTTGGCTCTGGGAAGATCTCAGGAACAGCCTGCCTTACCCTCTATGGTGAGAATCTCTGAGAATCCATTGTTTCTGCTGGAATATTTTAACTCCAAGAATGTTTGGAATGTTATAGTGCCTAGTTTTTCAGTTTTCTAATTACAGAAAGGTTCAATGGAAGACACTTAGCTTTTCATGTCTGCTGTAGCTGTTATTATAGTTCATTAGAGTGTTCGTGTGGTAAACACCGAGTTATTTAGCTAAGACTGTCTCTTCTCTGACATATCTTGGTGTACACAAAATTGAGGACAACAATGAAGGAAAAAATCCTCCATAAGCAGAAATATGATTTAGAACTGGCTTTGCTCTTAGCAATCACATGACCCTAAACAGGTCCTACCTGTTCTCGTCACATGAGTTTCTTTTTCCAGAAAATAAGTATGATGTAACAAATTATCTCTAGAACCACTTATAATAATAACCTTTTGGGTTTACAGACAGAATGAGATGAAGGCTAGCATGGAGTAAGGGTGGAGGTACCCTCCATTCTGCTCCAAAATGGCTATTTCAGGATAGATAAGAGGACACAAGACAAAGGCTCCTCACATGGGAAATGATGCCAGCTAGGGATGCAACTGGCTAATAAGCTCTCTTAAAATCCAATAAGTTTAATGAGATTGCTTTCCTCTTTACTGACAAGCAGCTGAGCTAAAAGATTAGTCACTAGAAATAAAGTATGACTTTGGACCAATTGGCCTCATTAAAGTGGTTTTAGGAGGGAGAAAACAAACATTTTTATTAGCAGGAATTATTAGCAATGTTAATATTTAATATTAAATATTAAAGCTGAGATTTTGACCATGCCCAGAATAGTGCTGTGGGAGAAAAGAAAATTAAGTAGGTAAGAATACAAAGGAGTTGTACCCACACTAAAACCAAGTTTCTTTTATTTATTTTGCCTGTAATGAGGCCTCTCTGCAGAATTTTGTCAGTCTTTTGTCTTGATTTCCACTTTCATTCTCTGCCTGTCCATCTCTCCCTTCCTGCCTTTCTTCCCTCCATTTCATCATCTCTTCTTCCTTTCTTTTTTCTTTTTCTTTTTTCTTCCTTTGCTCATTTCTTTTCCTTTTTCTTCTGTTCCTCTTTTTTTTCCTCATCTTTCTTCTACTCCCCTCCCTTGCTTATAAGCTGTTGAATTTTTCTCAGAAAACCAAACTCCTCTAACAATACTGTTCTCCTCCACACTTCCACTCTTCCTCATCACACCTTTCATCTAAACCATTCTTTGAATCCCTAAGGGAACCTCCCACTTAGTCTGGCCACATAATCATATTTGCCTGTTTTCACTTTCAACTTCTTCTGGTGTTTAGTCACAATCTTGGCCCTTTCTGGGTGCGGCTGAAGTTCCACAGCTCCACTCCCTCCAATTTGCTCTCTACCTACCTCTTAAGCCTAAAAGCACAAACCGGCTTTCATTTACTATTCTGTAATTATTATGTGGACTCCAAAGTGAAGCACAGAAAGAACAGCATGCACTACTTGGCAGAGATAAATTATGTACTCTAGGGAAGATCAAGTCATTAATCAGTGAACTTTTAAAAGAGAACAAGCTACAGCTGGCCTGAAAATTTTCTTTTTCTCGTAAGTCAATTATCTTCCCTTAACTCTATCAGGTGATCTGCAAGGTACCCCTGACTAGTTTGATTTTTCTGGCCAGTCAACCCAAGTAGGCTTTCGCCAAGTGTCTTTCTTTGTCGCTCACTCACTGGTCCAGTTTCAAGCATAAATGGTGATCACTACAGCAATCTCTCTTTGGGCTCTCTGCTCTGTTACCTGCTGTCATGCTTCTGGTAGATGCAGTGCTGGCTGGGAGTTATTATCTAGCTGTTTGAAGAAGGCAGAGAAGCTGAACTGCTCTTGCAAAAAGGGAATAGAATAATTATTCTTTGTCCTTCTTGAGAAAGAAGAGTAACATGACTTCTCCATGCCTCCTGGCTGTCCAGTCAATTGTGCAGGAGAAAAGCAACATACATTGCTTTTCCAACCACAGGTTTGGACCAGGCCACCCTGCACCATGACAAGTACCATGTTATCTACCTACCTGTCACATCTTGCTGTGAGGAGAATTCAGAATTCAGGCTAGGTGTTTTACTGATTGTAGGCCATATTTCTTTTTCGCCCCAGTGCAGCCCATAGTATTTCTTCACTACGATTTCTTTGAAGATCAACTAAACATTACTTGCTCTGCCACTGCCCGCCCAGCCCCTGTGGTCTCCTGGAAGGTCGCTGGGTCAGGGCTTGAGAATAGTACTGAGAGTGTTTTGCATCCTAATGGAACCACATCTGTCACTAGCATCCTCCGGGTCAAAGATGCCAAGAGCCAGGTTGGGAAGGAGGTGATTTGCCAGGTCCTGCACTTGGGGGCTGTGACTGAATACAAGGAAGTTCTGAACAAAGGTAAGAGAAGCTGCCTAAAGATGCATGTGATGGTACCTATGGATATCTATTAGAGAAGTGGTAGATGTTCCTTTGGGCTTTCCATCTGCTCAGCAAAGAAGATAACTGAGAAAAGAAAGAGATTAGTAAGAAAAGAGAGCTAAGAAAGCAAATAAATAAAATCTTACAGTCATGTCCTCTTATTTACAGTGCATACATTCTAAGCCTACCCTGTGGTTGCCTGAAGCCATGGATAAGATTGAACCTTCTATATGATACTTTGTCCTGTGTATGCATATATGTGATGAAGTACAATTCCTAAACTAGATCTAGTAAGAGACTAGCAACTACAATTATAAAATAGAACAATAATAATAATATCTTTCATAAATATTTGTGCTTTGGATTAATTATTAAGTAAAATAAGGGTTACTTGAGCACAGGTACTGTGACACTGTGACAGTTGGTCTGATAACCAAGTCTGCTACTAAGTGATAGGAAGGTCATATATACAGTGATAATACACTGGACAAGGGCTGGACAAATAGCTCAGCAGATTAAAGTACCTGCAAGCAGGGGCAGGGGCCAGGGGTTTGATCCCTGGGCCTGCCATGCCAGCCCTGCACCCTGTAATCCCAGCTTTTAGGAGGCTATAAACAGGCAGATCACTACAAGTCTGATCTAGTAGTGAGACCCTGAACACTCTGTAGACCTTTCCCTAAAGTACAAAAAAAGAGATACACTGGACAAAGGTGGAATGGAACAGAGTTGTGTGAGCTGTGAGCTGTTATTATATCCCTCAGAATATTGTGCAATTTGAAATGCATGCATTGTGGAGCTGGGGAGATAGCTCAGCAGTACAAGCACCGGCCTGACAAGTGCAAAGATCTGGGTTTGGTATCAGGTACCACATGCCATGCTAGCCCTGAAACTGGGCATGGTTGTGCGCACCTGTAATCCCAGCACTGGGAAGGCTGAGACAGAAGGATCACTACAAGTCTGTACTTCATAATGAGACACTGCACAAAATAAATAAATAAATAAATAAAATTTATGCATTGTTTGTTTCTGGAATTTCCTATGTAATATTTTTGAATCACAGTTGACTATGAGTAAGCAAAATCATGGAAAGTAAAATCACAGGTAAAGGGACTGCTGAATTTTGGTAAATGTGAAATGCTTTTCTTGATATCCATTCTTGTGTTCGATTCTTTCATTTTGCTAAGATTTGCTGACTATTGTATGACAGATTTTGGGTTGAACATAAAAAAAATACAGCGATGAATATTTAGTTCCTGCACTCAGGGAACCTCCAGTGTATTAGGGAATATAGAAAAGTATCTGGGCATTTGTGAACTGCATGCTAATTCTTCCATAAAAAAGCTGTGATGCACGGTGGCAGTTCAGTCTGAGGGGAGTGAAGGTTTCTATGAGACAAAACTGTGTGGCCACATCTGTGCATCATCTATATCAGGACAGGGCTGCTCCGATACACCTTCTCACTTCTAAAAACAAGCTCTCTCACATTCCGGTCTGCCTTTACTCCCTTGTGTTCCATTTAGACTGTGATCGCTGGACCTGACTAACACAAAGTAGGAGAATTATTCACAGAAGAGAATAGAGAGCAGTGATTTTAGAGATAAATTATTATAGTGACAGCCACCATTTACTTTGCCTATGTAGATCTGAGGCTCCAACTCTGGTTGAAGAGCTCAATAATAAGTATCCTTAAAATATCATTGCTTTTTGATGAGAAGGTTATCCTTAAAACAGTAAGATGGAACAATGTGATCTATGCCTTCTTGGAATAATAGCCTCTAAAGAACATTTCCTGTAGGCATTTTTATTTTATTTTTAATTTTTTATTTAATTTTTAATTTTTGTATTTTTGTATTTTAGGGAAAGGTCTACAGGGAGTTCAGGGTCTCGCTACTAGATTGGACTCCTGTAAACAGGAGAATTGTAGGGATTCTCCTGTTTACAGCCTCCCAAGTGCTGGGATTACAAGCGTGTGCCACCACGCCCAGTCTCAATTGCCATCTCATTGTGCTCTGGGCTGGGCCAGCACAGGCAGGCCCGGGAATCAAACCCCAGCCCCTGCACCTGCTTGCAGGAGCTTTCATCTGCTGAGATATTTGGCCAGCCTCCTGTAGGCATTTTTAGAGGTCCCTGAAAACAGACAGTCCAGAATGTGAGTACTTAGTTAAGTTTAGTCAGTAAAGTTTGCTGTGTTAGATTTGGGTATTTGTGAAGAGATTCTTGGGTTTATGCAAAGCAAAAAGTAAATTTCCCTGAAAAACAAGAACCTGAAAGGAATGTAACTGCTTTTCTTGGAATGCTGAATTTGATTTATATCATGTATACTGTTTAATAACATCTGTATAATATTTATTCTGTGAACATCTACAAAAATCATTCATGATAAAAAACATTAATCAAAACATTGGAACTGTAGAATCAAATCCCTATGTGAAGGCTTTCTGTTAAAGTGTGAGATGTGACATAATTTCATTATGGAGAAGATTCTGGGCTCTTCCAAACCAGGGAGTCTTTCCTTTGCCTGTGTGTTATAAAGTGACACCAGGAGTTGAAATTTAGTTCAGGTTGTATTTAGTGACTGCTGGAAAGAAATTTAATAACAAAGACATAGATTTGAAGAAATACAATAAAAACATTGAGATGAGTTATTTCTGAGAGTTGAAATCATGAGCTTCTTTTCTTTCTTTCTTTTTTCCTTTTTTTACTTCTCCATATTTCCCCATTTTTTTCAATAAACGTATTACCCTAATGGAGAGTATGGCAAAAATGGTGCTCTCTGGAGGCAGACAGACTTCTGACTAAGTCTTGGCCCTTCCATTTCCTGTGCTGATGTTTTGTTGTGTTTCATTTTGTTTTGTTTGAGACAGGGTTTCATTACACAGTGTAGTCTGACCTTCAACTCGATACATAATCCAGGCTGGTCTAGGACTCACAGCGATTTTCCTGCGTTGGCCAGGCTTATTACACTGATTTTTGAGCTCACTTAGATTCTCTGAGGCTCAGTTTCACTTTATTGTTATCTGTTAGATAATAATCTCTGACTACTGCTAGCTATTATTATGACATGGTATGTGGGACCCCCCCCCCAGTAGATGTGCCAGATCTTATCTGATCTCAGAAGCCATGGAAGCTAAGCAGTGTCTGAAGTGGTTAGTTAGTATTCAGATGAGAGATGAGAGTATCTAAGTTGAAATATTTTGAAAATTAAATGTGAAGACTTATGTAGTAACTGAGTAAGACATGCCATACAACTATATGGGCTGATGAATATAGACTTCATGAGATATGTATTTTTAGATAACTTTACTTGAAAGTTCAACTCCAGTAAAAAGTCATCATAACTGTTGATTTATCTTTTTTTGCCTCAGCCACTCCCTCCTGTGACTGCATTTTTTTTTTCCTTTTACTGTCCACAGGCTTTTGGTTTTCAATTCCATTATTGTTAAGCATTGTTTCCCTGATAATTCTCCTGGTCTTAATCTCAATCTTATTATACTGGAAATGTCATCGGAATCAGGACCGAGGTGAGTCACCCCAGAAAATATGAAAAGTGAACTAAGTTAAATGTTTTTTAAAAATGATAATTTGAGGGTTACCTCAACAAAAGTAACAGAATGGCAAAAGTGTGTTCTGTTCGTTGTTTTCAAAATATAAAAATGTTGATGCCCTTTTTCAAATGCTTCATGACAATTTTAAATGTTAATTATTGTATAAGTTGCAAGTAGGGGTTCATGAGAAGAAGTGAAGAGAATGTTCATTTGGTCACAATGGGTCATTTGATGGCAGAAACAAAGAAGTCTGGCACCCATTCAGGGTGCTCTCTACTTGTTAATAAGGACAATCTTTCTTCTTTTTACAGCATTCCACAAGCCAGATGCCCATGTAAGAGGCTATGAAATTGTCCAATACGATCACTCATTAAATAGCACTTCCTATGTCACACTCCCTTGATGTCTCAAACACAATCGGCAACATACAGGTGATCCACACTTACAGTACTTGTGTCCTGTCGTTGCCCTTTCGGGCTGCAGACTTCTCCTTATTCCTGGCAACATCTGTCGCAGCATCTTATACAGAGTAGGCATTCAATAAATGTTAAGTTATTGAATTGACTAATGAATGAATGAGGAGGAAAATGGATATATTTTTAAATGATTTTTCAATTCCATTTCTTCTATTATAAGTTCAGTATCTCAAAAATGGCAGATCTAAGATATGAGACATTACACAAGATATGTGACCTACACTGAAAAAATCAAATGCCTTGGTTTTCTGAGGACAGTGTAAGGTATCAAATGTAAATGTGAAGTTTATGGTACCTGAAAAGGGAATTTCTTGGAGTTAAGGGCTAATGTGGGAGTTCCCTCCATCTCAGATGACTGAACTTTAGGGGTCAGGGTAGAAATAAATGTTTACTTTTAGTGTTATTTCAGATTTTGATTAAAAATATCCCTTAAGTACAATGCCATTTTCATTTTAAATTTCATAGACTATATATCTTTCAGGTTCTAGGCTACTTTTGTTATTTTATTTTGCATAATCATATAAACACCGGATTGACTCTTATGAATTTACAAGCTAAGAACAGCTCTTCAGTGTCAGTGGCTCTTTGACAAAAAAAAAAAAAAAGATAAAGCAATTTGTTCTGTTTGAGAGAGGCAATTACAAGTGGATAATCTTATTGCATGTAAACTTAAGTCCCCAGAACACATAATCACTGCACCGAATATCAGAGGTAGAAGTTTGTTTTGTTCTATTTTATCCAAGCATTTCACTTTTCTACCTAGGAAGCAGATGCCTAGAGAAGCCCACTTTTCTAGCATTACACAGATCCTTAGAGCAGGCTAGGACTACAAATCTTCTCTTCTGACCTCTGTCACAATGGTTTTTCCATCCTTACTGATTCTGTGGTGCACTAACTTGAAAGGAACTATTTCTATTTTATTTTATTCTATTTTTTATGTATTTTGGTACAGGTTCTACGGGGTCTACAGGGTCTCACTACTTAGGTCAGACTCGTAGTGATCCTCCTGTTTTCTGCCTCCCAAGTGCTGGGATTACAGGTGCGTGCCACCATGCCCAGTCTCAATCACTGTCTCAGTGCACCCCTGGGGCAGGGCCAGCATGGTATGCGGGATCAAACCTCAGCCACTGGGCTCTACCTAAGCAGGCACTTTAGTACACTGAGGTATCTGGCCAACCCTTTGAAAGGAACTATTATTATCAGGTACACCCATTTAAATCTGTACCAATTGTACTGATCTTTTGGAAACTGTAAAATCATCTAAATTCATACTGAAAATTCCCTCTTGGACAAGTCTTATAATACAGTCTATTCAAGCAAAAGGTAAATTCCACAAGACAGGGCTATTTGAAAAATGATTGTCCTTTGTTCATTAAGCAAGTCTTAGGTTCTCTGGAAGATAAACTTATCCAATGTCTTATCTAATTCTTGAAGCAAAAAGAGTCAGTTTGTCTCTGCCATAGTTTTTCCTAATTTATGAAATGAAAACTTCAACTTTGTTGAATCCTGTAGGCACTAGGATTGCCATTCACAGATGATGTCTTCATAATATACAGCCAATTCACTCAATTTCTGTGAATGTTCAACAGCATATTTTGAGTGAGTTGAGTTTCTACTAATTTCAAAAGTTTTAACAACCACTAAATATGATTTTGTGTTCTTACAGCTAGTAAAACCAATCATCAATTATGCTGAAGGCTTAAATGCTGAATTAAGGAAACAGTTCATTAAGATAAAACCTTAAGTTATATAGAAAATTGTGAGAAAGTAAAAATGATAGGAAATAGCAGTACTTTTGTTCTTCAACTAATAAATCCTGATGACTAATTTCTGAGAAAGGTGAATAGTCCCATATATTTACCTTCTATTTTCCTTACCTTTGCTTTTGTTTTCTTTCCATCATCCTTGGAAAACATAAAACTTTTTGGTGGCAAGAAAATATGATTAACCAAAACTGGCACCTAGGTACTAATGACCTGATGACCTCAGAAATAGTGATGTGACTAGAAGTAAATAGAAGTGACAAAATAGAACAGAGAGGAGTTGGGGGAGGAGAAGGTAAAGTAAAGGAGAAAGATGAATGAGTAGTAGTGAGATGAGGAAGAGGAGGAAGATGAATATGTACCTGAATTTATCACAGGGGACCAAGAACTCTCTTGTGGAGCTGCTCAGTAGCCAGTAAGAAAATTTGTTAAGCAAAGTCAACTTTTGTTTGTTAAATGATCAAAACAAAGCCTATTGTAGATCATAGTCACTATTCATTGCAAAGTGTAAGCAAATACATTCTGCCTAGAGGAATAATCTCACATGCATGGCCTTGTCTTTGTCTAGAGGCTAGTTTCCCTTTACTCTTCTTACAGGTGCATTTTAACAGAAAGCATGATATAGGTTCTTGTTTGTTTTGTGACATGGGGGATAAAGACCTTGAGCTTTCCAGGCAGGCCTTATGCTGCTGAGCTAATAGGTTTTATATTTATGCTAGAAAGCTACACTCTGGGAAACATGTTGCATGAATAGGCCTTTCTTACACCATTCTTGATGCAGTCACCAGAATTATTTCCCCAGAGAGTATCCCAATAAGACTAATAAACTTTCAAAGAATATGCCTATTTCCTTCATGAATCCCATGCTTTATTACTGAAATAGAAAGTGAAGAAAAATTAAATTTTCCTAGGGAAATTTTCCACCATCTCATAATACTTTTTTCTGTTAAAACTCAGTGATGTCATAAATTTCTGCTTTGCCTTTAAAGGACTCTGAAGTTAAATTTGAGGTTGAGAACAATCTTTCCTTTGTCATTAGTCAGCCCACCGATGATTACATGTTCCTCGGAAACAACTTAAAAAATCTACATTCTGGGCAATCAAGCTAATTTTCTGAACACACTTTGAGCAGATGTTTTCTTTTGGTTGATTTAAGATTAGGTTGGAAATTTGGCTCAGAACAGATTCAACTTTTTATCCCCACTGAAAGGAGAAGCAAACTGATTAGTTTTTAAGCTGGGAAAGATTGAGTTACCTCATGAAAGCACTTAGTGTGGCTTAACCAAGGAGGAAACTTAATTCATGCTCTATTAATGTGTTATTGCTTTTCACCACATTTTCATACATAGTTATGTACAGCACAAATTTCTTATCATACATTTCTGAAATTCAAGTCCAGCATGGATCTCACTGGGTACAAATCAAGGTATCTGCAAGGCTACATTCCTTTCTGGAGACTCTAGAAAGAATCTTTTCCTTTCTTTATCCAGCTTCTAGAAATTTCATGTGCTCTTGCCTCTTCTATCTGCAAAGCTAGCAATGGCTAGTTAGGTCTATCTTGTACTGAATCAATTTCTGACTCTCTTGCCTCCCTCACTCCACTATAAAGACTCAAGTAATTGTATTGACCTATCTATATAATACAAGATAATCTCTTGCTTTTAGGATTTTAAATTTATCCTATGTAAAATAACACATTCACAGGCTTCTGGAATTAGGATGTGGACATTTGAAGGGACCATTAATACGCTAGCACAAGTGCTACCAAAAAGTGGATGTAAGCTGCATAAAGGGACAGCTATTAACTCATCCCCCAATGTAAGCATTTTGTGTATAATTCAATGTCCTTAGCTTTGTTCACAGTAACACTATATCAAAGAACATCAGAACCTGCTCACATAGCCTCTGAAGACAGCACCTTGGCTGTCCTCTTAGTTTCCAATCTTCTTCCCATAAGGAAAGATTTCATTTCTTAAAGATCTTTCAAGATTGTGTCATGTTTCAAAGCCATAATGCCAAAGTGTTACTTCTGCTTTCCTTTCTCACCAGTTAGTCATCACGAACGGTAAATTCTCAAAACCCATTTATTTTAGCTTGGATTCAGTTCTTGCATATTTCCTGCTTCTCTCCAATTGCATTGTTGAAGCAAGTAATTCAGACTTGTTTTAATATTATAGTCATAGATAGGTAAGGAAGACCAAGACTAAAAATTCTATTATCACTGTATATAGTGACATTATACCTAACTAAATTGATCTTTCTCTATTTATCACAACTTACTGAAGTGAAGATTTCTGTATCTTTAGTTCCAGAATCATGTTATGAAGCTGTTACTGATTTTAAGATCTCAATATTTTCTGTATAATTCTTAAAAATCTTTAAAATTCCTACCTGTAGAACTAAACTGATTCTAGTAGCCCATATACATTAGAACCATTCTCTCATAACAATACCTTTTTTAAAAAAGATATATATATC